TGAAGAAACGCGTACAGATACGTCACAGACTTTACAGGTGCAGATAAGTTATTTGTGTAACCTATCACGGGATTTTTTTTCCTTTCTGAAAGTCCTATCAAAACTGTGAAATTTTTAATACTTCTTACTTTTTGAAAACTGGCAAAAAATATCTCATACAGCAGGATGGAAATGACGCTGTATTTTCTTCTCTTCATGAAGTCGAAAAGAAACTTTTTCGAATCAGGAATCAAGAATATTACCAAACCTCTACTAGACAGTATTTTAAATTTTCCAGTTAACTAGTACGGTAATTTTATCTGTTGAATACAAATTGCGTAGGTTTCAGCTAGGGATATTTTTTGCGTAATTGCTTCTTATATAATTTTCAAAAAGTAAGTGCAGAAACCTTTGAACCTTTATATTAAAATTGACCGCGATTTAATGAATAAAATGTTCAGCTCCTTATGAATTTGCTATATTGGCGTCCGATTTTATATACTTAACACTATGACTTCAAAAACATAGCCATTTAATATCAAGTTTTAAAAATTTTAAAGAAAAATAAGTTTAAGTTTCTTCGAAAAGAAATTAAAGTATTTTATTAATAAAAAATGAATTTAATTACGTATAGAAATAAGATTGGCATCGTATTAAGTCACAGCAGTTGCGCATGTATTAATACAGAAATTATCAGACTTCTTTGCATGCATAATAAATGTTGTTATATTTTCAAAAAGTATGTAAAGAAATAAATAAAATGTAATAAATAAATAATGAAAGAACCATTATAATTAATTAAAACCAATGTAATTTTCAAAATTTAGATTTAATTAAATGTAACTCATTATTGCTGTTTAATATTTACTTTTGTTCTGAAAAATCTAGCAATGATAAAATTAATATAACTACGGGAGGTACTCCCTGTCCACCTATGGTGGACTAACCACCATTGTGCACATTATACAACTGTGCATACTCTCATTATTCAAATAGTGAAACTGTAATTTAATGTATTCTGTAGTTCTAACTTTTTACGACCTATTTTTCCTAACTATACCTTATGTATAAATAAATTTATTACAGCATCAAGAAGAAGAAATATATATATAGAGAAAAAAATAAACAGAAAGAAATTTGGTTGTATTAATTCATTGTTTTCTTTACAATATTTGTAAAGAAAGCTATTAATTTTAGCTATTTTCTAGCTATTAATTTTAGCATATCTTAATTTGTTTTCAAAGTCAAACAACTACCATTCAATTAAGTAAAATTATATTAGTACTTTTTTAATATAAAGTCTATGGATCTCGGAAATGATAGTTTCCTATATATATATTTCCTTTGCAAAAATTTAAATATATTCCAGGATTTCCCCCTTAATATATCTTTTAAAAATTTTCTAAAAATGTTTTAATGAATACAAAAATCTGGTTCTTCGTATAAAATGTATTAGAGGAGTCAGATATTAGATTTAAAGATGTACTTTTCATCGTCCAAAGCGTTCCAGAATGTTACATATTTTTATGAAAGCATGCTTATTTTAATTTGAATTACAAGTATAATTTAATTTCAAAAAAATATCAATATTAACATGAATTTACTTCTATAATAATTTGCTGTGTAATAAATGTTCTATTTGAATGATGAAATAAATTCAATAAATAAATACCTTTAATTATTTAACCTTTTATGATTATACCTTTTGAGACACTTAACAAAACTTTTTTTTTAGAATTTCAGTACATGTGTGATGTTTAAAGCTGTCTTAAGTACGCGACGTATATTTCATAATGTTTTTATAAAGGATTTTAATTTTAAAATATTTAGTGAGAGATTCAGAATTGCATGTTTTGAATTTACCGTATAATTATTTATATAAAAACTCCTTCTCTAAATTCTAGTTAGAATTTGTGCTGAGTGTAAATTTAATATTTTGAATAGCAGGGGAAATATGGAACATTTATTTCAGAAATATAGCTATACATAAAAAACTAATTATTAACATGTAAGATTGTCTATATTCCTTATAAAATCTACTATTCAGTTACACATTAAATTGTTATGTAAGTAATCTTCCTAGAAGAGTGTATCTTGCCTGACTAACTTCAGTTGTCAAGTGAGATTGTTTGAAACTTAGGTTGATCCAAGCCCATCCCACTCAAGATCTAACACTCTGTATATATAAGTATATTACTACATCTTACATTATGTGACAAATAGGAGGACATTTAGCAGGAATGGCTGCTGTATTACATTCATTATTCCATTCATTATCCAGTTACTCCGCAAACCTTGTATCCATAAATTGAAGCACAACTATCTCTCTCTATGACTAGTATTACATTCACATAACTCTATGTTACATTTCAAGCATGATAATTGAAAAGATACGACTATATATATAAAATTAAATTAAATCACAGACACAATAGTTTCCGAAATGGAATAATCGTAGTGTTGAATGTGGATCTGAAATCAGTAATAAGTTTTCCAAAATCTTTCTAGATATGTCTTTTTTAATGACTCTTAACTCGCGAGATTTAAGGAATTCAATTAGGATTATCATCGTAAATTTCCGCTGAAGCCCATGTTTTATGAGCAAAAACTTCGTATCAATGTTTTGACAAATGTATTTATAATTAACTCGTAAGCTTAAGTTATAGAATTATTTATATCTTATCAAATTGTGCAATGAAGATATGGTCATGACATCTCCTTTCAATGTTCATGACCGTCGGGCGTGGAAGGAGTGTCAGCATTTTGTGAGTGTTCTTTGACAAGAAAATTAGTACATCAAAAAGGAGTCGTCAAAATAAAACGAAATTTTACATACGTAATGACTACTTTGACATAAGTAAATGATTAGAAAATTAAAGAAAAAGGATCATTTATTTTTAGAAAAAAAAGGCAAAATAAAAGAAGATTTAATACCCGATGCGATACGATCAAGCATTGAGGCATATAAGTTCTGTATGATGTCTTGAGACATTTCGTTCCATATTTGCTGTACACTTGCCTCTATTTCTTTCAAACTCGTGAGACACCCAACTCACCATCCCAAATGATCCCAGATGTACTCGAGTGAAGACAAATTTGGGGATCGGGCAGGCAAGGAAGGGTAGTAACTCTACGGAGACAGTGTTGTAACACTCTTGCCGTGAGAGGCCGAGCATTGTCTTGTTGAAAAATGGCTCCTGGGAGCCGTTGTATGAGTAGCAACACATGTGGTTGCAGGAGGTCATGGGCATACCGCTGGGCTATTATGGTGTAACGGATCAATACTTGAAGTGACCGTGTACCCCATACCCTCACACTAGCTGTGAAAGCGGTGTGTCGCTGTAAAGCAAAGGCAAAATTCAGGGGTCTCCACACTCGAATATGATTGTCATCACTGCTGAGATTGAATCTGGATTTGTCTATTAAGACGACCTTGTACCATTCTGCTGTAGTCCAGTTTCCTCGTGCGTGGCACCATTCCAAACGGATGAGGCGATGTGTGGGCATCAAGGGAGGCACACGTAATGGGCGCCGCAATTCCCAATATCCTTCAGCCAGGTATCTTCGTATGGTTCGAGAAGACACAGGGGTCCTAGAGAAGGTGCTAACTGTGCCTGGATGACGGCCGATGAAGCAGTTGGCTGTATGCGTGCATTTCTTACGATGTTGTGGTCTCCTCGACGACTGATCTGTCGAGGGCTTCCTGAGCCTGGTTTTCATGTAAATGGCATCTTTCGGATCCGCTGGTCCCAACATCTCCTCACAACACAATCAGAGTGGCCTAATTAACGAGCTACTCGCCTAGATTATCACCCAGTTTCCATCCTTCCGATGATTCTCCCCCTCTCAAACTGCTACAGCTGCTTATATTGTCTTCGATAACGGCGTAATGGCATGTCTATCTCGGCTCTTTCTTTGTAAATGATTCAGCACACTCAAACAAGCTTTGTCTACCTGCTTTATACCCCACGGAGAACGACGTTGAATGCCCTCTACCGGCTATACGTAAAGCGCAGTCACGCTGCATCTCTATTCATTTGCATATCTTCCCGACATATACGTTCATGCCATGTTTCCTTACGATCCCACAATTATATCTTGATGCGCTAATTTTTCTGTCAATGAATGTATGTTTTCTTAAGAAATTCAATATATACCCTGGTGGAGTTTTGCGTTATCTCTACGAATATGAAGTATTTATATTCTATGACTGGATAAACAACAAGGATCTTGTTATACATTGTATTAGTCTGCAATTGCAAATGTACTTGAAAGTTGTTTCACGAGAACTTGAAAAGGAATTTTTGTGTGTGTGTGTGTTGTTTCCTGTCAAATCGGAGAATATATAAACATTACAATTGCGACCAACGCATCCTCTCTACCATAAGTATTGGAGCTCCATCAAAAATGATAGTATTAATGAGTTAAAAAATTAAGCAAACAGTCCTAATTGAACTGTCCCATCCATATATATTCGATTTCTGTGAAAGTTTAATTTTTTACAACTTGATAAGCACATCATTGAAGAAAGAGAAAAAAAAAGAAGAGAATGCATAAAATTAAATACTTATTTTTTTAATGGGGCTACTTTTTAGCAACATAGCCTATGCAGATACGGCAAGTCCCCAAATGTGAGAACCATTTCACAGTGGCTCCATTTAACGGCGTCCTCTTAACCAAATTTGGGGACGTTCGGATTAATTTTTAATTTAAGCTTTAGTCGGATGCTAAATATTGTCGTGATTTAATTTTGTCGACAGTACCAGAGCCAAATTGATGCGGAAGGAGTCTTTTACATGCCACATAATCATATGACATGCATGTCTACGATTTTCACATCCAGAAAATCTAATAACTCCAGCCGGAGTCGAAGCGGCTTACGAAGTGGGCATGCTACCTCTAAGCCACCGGAGCAACTCTTACGGCGGGTCTTCTGTCGCACTAGGCTCGAACTCATGACACGAAACCCCAAGTCCGTTAAGTTGACCACTAGGCTACCACGGCCAAAAAAAATGCCAATGGCATGTGGTGTTCCCAGGAGGTCACCATCCGAAGTACTGACCACATACGATGATTCTTAACTTCGGTGATCAGGTGAGAACCGGTGTTGTCAGTTCGGATTGTTTATTTTCGTACGCTATTTGTATACGATACTTCGAGGAAACGGGAAATTTGTTTCTCATTTCTTCTGATTTGAAAACTTTATATACTTAAACCAAATGCAGAAAATCTGTCCAGCGTTCATAGTAATAAAAATTCTGTAAAAATAAGTTTATAAAACAAAAAAATCAATGCCTCCTGTCCTGTTCAAAAGAAATCTGAATTGTATTCAGTCCAATCAGTATTTTTTTTTTATTTATCACAAAATTCCGCTGTTAAAAGTTCCATGAAAATTGTTGAGAAATCATAACTTGGTTTCTTATTTCGCTTTGAAATAGACGGAGAAAAATGCAGAACTGCCATATCTTTTCTAGTTGTGGAATGATCGATGACTAGAAAAAATTCACTTCAGATATATTTTGGCTATGAAATGCATTTGCAAAAGACTAAAGTCCTTGAAAACCTTTTTGTATTATGATGAGTTTTCCAAATATTATAGACTAAAATTCATACGGTACATTGAATAAAAAACTCGCATTTGAAAAGGACAGCCATGGAAGAAAAACTTTCACATAGGGGTATTTTAGTTATTAAGTAATGATCGACACTTTTTAAAGACAAATGGGCATTAGTTACTTAGAGCGTGAATTATTATATATTAATCAACCCAACAAAATACACGAATTTAGAAGAGATTTTCGCCTGTACGGTAAATAAATAAATTTGGATACAAAAAAACTATCTCTTGCTTATGCTATGGGATTCCCATTTGTGGAATTTAATTTAGCGGAAGTAAATGATGAATGTTATATTTAAGCAGATTTCTTTCCGGGATAAACTCATTAACTGATACTTATGTAACTTGAAATACGTAATCTATACTATATGGCTAAAAGTAACCAGAAATCCAATAAAAAGGAGAGTCTGGCAAGTAATGGAATTTGATGAGTAGTCCTATTTCTGCGTTTGTGAATCTATGAGAAATTCAAAGAAGCTTAGTAAAACTTTGACAGTATCCTTTGTGGGAAGTAAGTTCGTAAAATTTCGGGCATTCAAACTCCAGTGTGTGTGATGAAATTGCGAAGTGGAAACGTCGAAGAAGTGAAACCGCTGAAATACGAATTAGGCAGAAAAAATTTCGTGAAAACAACTGTGAACTCTAACAATGTAATGTAACAAATTCGCTAGTCTCCGTTGACTGAAATCACTCGAGAGTTTCAAAGTTCATCTGATGTTACTGATAGTAGTAGGAGTGATGAGTTAACAAACCTAAGATTCCCTGATCGTTCAGTCACTCATAATACAGACCTCACTCATCAGAATGAGAAACGTCGATATAGCAATAGTGCTAAGTCCAACGTCATCGGATCGAAACATTTTCTTCGGGGTTAGAAATCTCGTTTTACAATCTTGCAGTCCAATACACGGGTTTGGTTTTCGCGGATGATCGGCAACCACCCTTTAAGTGACTGCAATGTATCAACTTTAAAGTCTGGTTAGGATGCATCATGGTTTGGGATTGTTTTTCATTGTTTTACCTGAATTCAATAATCCCGGTGGTTGAAGACATGACACCTGAAATATATGTAGACATTCTCTCTGGACAGTACTTCTCTTCCAACCCTTAGACAAGTATTCGAATAAGGCCTATTTCTTATCCAGCAGGATAACTGCTTCATTCACACATCGGGACTTGCACAGCTATGGTTTGGCAGAGGCTCTCTCAGTGCCGAGATCTTAATTCTCCAGAGCACATTTAGAACGAATTAGAACGCAAGTAACGTAGCTAGCCGAATCTACATTTTCACTGCCAGAACTCATTTAATTTATGATAAACACTTGGGATTCAGTTCCTATGACCATCAATCAAAGTCTGGTGAAAAGTCTCTTTAGACCAGTGTTTCTCAAACTGTGGGGCGGGCCCCCCCCCCCCCTGGATTGCGCGATAACCTTACAAGGGGCGCGCGAGAATATCGGAAAAAAAAAGATTTCAAAAATAATTAATTTACTCTGGAGAATGAATTAAAACAAAATACTTTCAGACACAATAAAAAATACATTTTTACTCTGATATAATATATAAGTGATATTAAGTCATCTCAAAAATAAAAACTTCCTCAATACCTAATTAGCTATCTTTGATTCTATAACCAAATAAAAAAACTTTTATTTGCTTTGCTGTAATCCCATGATGAGAGATTTTTTTTATTACGTTTTCTTTTTAAACCTAACATACTACTCTTTCAGAGAAAAAACAAATCCCAGACCCAGAATCGAAAAAATTTAGGAACATAAGAAATTCCTCTCTGTGATTATTTTTGAAATACTGCGCATTATAGCTGTAATCTGTTTTTGCTGATAATCTGTTTGGCCTTCTAAGTTATAGTTACAGTTAGTTATGAACCCTCTCTTATGTGTTTGTTTCTCATTTAGGGAAGTTGTAAGTATTGTATTTCTCTGTTTCGCTTTTTTCCATGCAAAGGAGTCTTATGATATTTGGAAAACTACTGAGAGCACTTTGAAGGATTACTTGGCCAAGACTTATTTTTATGAGTATTCTCAAACATATAAAGCATAACGTAAAACGTTTTACACAATTTTTTTAGCAGTAACATAAATATGATCATAATGAATACACTTTTAACCCGGAAGTGGTCGCGCGGGACACACAGATCACAAAATCGTTAATTCTGGCAAAACAGTTTATTTGTTACGAAAGAAAAATTGAAAAGTCCTTGAAAGTAGGTAAATTTACTTTCTCTTGATTAAATTATTCACTGGAATCACGATTTGTATCGTGTACAATAAAATAATAGAAAAAAAAAAGGATTGGGGTGACTCAATAACCCCACTCGACCGTATCGAGTGGGCGCCTGCTCCCGGGTTAAAACATGTTGAAGTCTTTTCGCTTTAAATATTAAAAATAATACTATTATTCTTCATCGGAATTTTATATTATTGTTCATTATTTAACATCAATTATAAATGCTAATTCTGTGCGGCTTAAAATTGCAATTCGCTTAAAACTAATTATAATTTGAGCAATCATTTTTAAAATTTCATTTTACATTTTTGTAAACATTGTCGCGCACTTGGCTTTACTCTCCTTCCACAATTCAGCAATTATATCAATAATGTTTTATTTTCTTATAAGTGAACTCATGCAAAGAGCGGGCACTTCAGCCGGTATACTTTTAATTATCAGAGCTGCACAGAGTATTTTATAGCTAATTAATTAATACTAAATTATGAACAAGTTTAATAAGTATTAACGACTTCCATGGGCTTGACTTGCAAAGCAAAGTTTTTATAAGGAATGCCTATGATTAGAAATTGACCCTCTGAGTTCTTTTTCTATATTTAGCTGATATCTATATTTTGTCTTCTAAGCAGCCACCACATTTTGCAATATGTTCAATTTAAATTTTAGAGAAAGGAAAGATAACATAATAATTATCCTATTACTTATTTATTTATTCTCTTGCTTAAAAGTAAGGTGTACAAAATTTAGTATTTATGTTATTAATTTGTATGGTTTATAATTAAGATTGCGTATTGCAGCTTTAGCGTCAAAGTGCATTATTATTGCATTCAGTATATTATTAAAGTATAGGGGGGCGTGATAAAAATTGTGATTGAAAAAGGGGGCGCTAGTATTGAAAGTTTGAGAAGCACTGCTTTAGACGTGTGCATGCCACCACCAATACAAAAGAGGGACCAGCATCAAATTAATATGTATATCGGAACTTATTAATGTCATGATTATACGTTACATTTGTACTACTAATTGTAAGATATCATTATTTAGATATGTAGAAATTAGTAGTATAATTCTTCGCAATTAAGAGTACTAAAACTATAAAACTGAATGCTAAATAACATCAAGACGTTATAAAACTAGAAATTACACATTTATTTCAAACCACACTCTTGAATAACGATCTGGGTTTCACAACTCAAAAATCAAATAAAATCCTATCTTCTAATTATTTTTTTTTTTAACTTGGAAATTTTACTTTAAGAAACTTTCATCTGGTTCGCAGACAATGGATACTACTTTTAACCATATCAATAACACTTTCAATGATGAGGATTAATTACTCATTATCCAACATCAGGGCCTAAAAGGATGCTGTACATAAAACAAAATTGTTTCCCAACTATTAGACTTAAAGACTTGAAATTTGTAAAAAAATAACTTTGTTGAATAGCAATACGCTTAAGGCTGATTTAGTTAAAATAGACCCTCAAAGTGGTTGAGCGGGCACTACAGAAAAATATACTTTATTCTAATCAACTACAAGGGGGGGGGGGGAGGGGGGCGCGCGGGAAGGGGTAAAATAATTATAGTGCGTTTTTATAAATTAATGACAGGGCCATTTTAAAACAAAAGCCGATGTGGGTATAGTATATTTT